CAAGGGGATTAATGGAATCTCGTTTTAATCTGAGGAGAGCCTTGAGATGGGTCTTCACTCTGGTCAGGCGTGTTCGTCCTGCAGCTGCTCCGGGATGGAGTGGACCCAGGTGTGCTGGGGGGACAGAGGACATTGGCCAGGAAACGCTACACGCTCGATTTCACTTAGAACAGGCACCCTGTCTGCAGTTTCCTATCTGAGTGCCCACGAACATCAGTAGTGGATTCCTTCCTTGTCTTTTGTTTGTGATTCACGCTGATATTGAGTTCTCTTTTGTGTTTCGTATAAACTCTGCTGCTACATGGGCGTGCACAGTTTGTGGGTTTGAATCATCAGCTATAGAAATGTGTGCGACTATGTCTCCACATCTCCCCCCACCCCCCATCTTTCCTACTTAAAATAGCAAAGAGCGGAGAACATGGGTCAGGGATGGACTCAGTTAGCTTCCGATGCTTGCGGTGTCCTCTCTCCTCGGAGCCCGGGGCTCCAGCATCACAGCCCCTGACCCAGTGTCCTCTCGACTGACCTGACGTTAAGCGCTCAACATACATTGTCCCCTTGAATGCGTGGACCAGCCTCTGTGGAGAGGTCACGAGCACCTCACCGGACAGACAAGGACATGGGGGCTCCCAGGTGTTGAGCAGTCAGCAGGGTCTCAGGGCCTCGGCCAACTCTTAAGACAGCTGTGCGGCTGGCACACTCTACAGCCTCCAGCCTTCCTGGGGGGGGGGGGGTGGTTCAAATCTGTGATTTCATAATGGCTGCAGAAGGGGCCGTGATCCCCATTGCGCAAGCAAGAAAACCAAAAAGCAGGTCGCCAAGTCTCCTTCCACAGGACACAGCGGGAGAGGGATGAGCGGAGGAAGCACACGGGCCACCGGCCAGCAGGTCTCTGCTTTGGGTGCTGCTGTGCGTGGGATCAGCCCTCACCTGACACCCTCCTTGTCTGAGAGGCCACGCCGTGACCCCGGGCTGATGTCCAGTCCAGCATTCCGTGAAAAAGAAAAGCACAAGCCCAAAACAGAGTCACTTAGGCCAGACCCAGCCATCAAACCGGGGCTTACTACCTAACCTAAATAAAGTTTCAACCTCCTCCAGTGCTGGGAGCCTCTCCGGCCTGAGAGACAAGCAAGGAAATGGCAGTGTCTGCACGGCTCCTGCCATGAGAAACGAAAACTGGTATCTCTTCTGCTGCTACTGGCTCATGTTGGAAATGAGCCTGCGGGTATGGACCCGGCCGCACAATATTCCAGATCAGACCCATATTCCGAACACAGATACCTCATAAGGAAAAGCATATTCCTGCCTTTACAAAAGAGACTTTAGATGAAAGCTCTGTGGGTGATTGTCAGAAGGCTCTTCCTATGGGCCTTGCAGACCCAAGACTTAGATAATAAAGGGGGTTAAGAACACAGAGTTACAATTGAGCCTGGCCCCGAGACAAAGAGCCTAATTTAAAGCTAAGGTACAGATAAGGGCAGAACATAAGTTACTAGATATATCTTTGCTAATTGCTGAAGCATAGCAGTCCCTTCCTCAAGGCCTACATTCCACAAACCCCCTCCCTTACGCTGGCAGCTGGGATGAGGATGGATAAGAGCAGCTAAAACATAAACCCAGGTGCAAAAACTGACACATTCAGGGCCCCCATGGTGCTTACACATTCAGCATCAAGGAAAAGGCTCGCTCAAGCAACTTAGGAACGAGCCTCATACACATTCTTCCTCTTGTGGTTAAAAACTGTCTGAAGGCCCACCCGTGCAAAGTAAGATACGTTTGTTAGTACCTTAATCTGGGGGACTGACGTCAAGAATATGGGGAGGTTCTGCAAGAATACTTCTGTAAAGCCTGTTTCTGTACACCTTCCGCTGATCAAAGCATCTTGTTACAAATAATTAGCCCCTGTAAAAATTCTGTCTTCTGATGTCATGTTGTTGTTGAACCTTTAAATAAAGACACCAAAACCGACAGGACGGAGATGCCTGCCTGGTGATCAGAAAGGATCTCGGGGCTCCTTCACTCTTTCTCTCGCCGACACTGTCCATCCTTCGGGGACCCCTGGACCTGCTGGGGCCGGCCTCCGGCACTCCAGAAAACGTAGTCTTATCTGATGAGTCAGGACTTTTCTGGTCAGCATTAATAAGGTAAGAAGGGAATCTGAGCCCTGGGCCCTCTCCAGTCCCCAAGGAAGGTAAAGCAATCCACCCAATAAGACCCTTGTCCCTAAAGGAAGATGACCTCACCCAAAATAATCCTTTTTTTTTTTCCCCCTGTTTATGACTTCCTCAGGCTTTCTTTTAAAAGTGTTTCCCTTTCTATAGCCCTTTGGAATTCCCCCCACTTGCTAGATGGGATGGAGGCAGCCCAGTTCTGGAATTGATTTGAAAAGTCGAATGGACTTTAAAATGTACTCTGTTGAATTTTTGTTAACAGTTGGGCACGGTGCACCGCAGGGATGGGGGGCCGCCCGTGCGCCTCACTCCCTTCTGTTGCTGGGTCTCATCTGACTTTAAAAACTCATCCTCTTGCTTGCTCAAGTGATTTACCATCACTGTCCTTTCTGGCTTTGTGACATCAATTATTGAGGTGATTATTAATGAGTTCTAAATGGGTTTCGTGTGAATCCCTGAGCACACTGTGACGCCTCTTCTGTTGCAGGGATGCCAAGTCTCTGCGCGAAGGTTAATCTGGCTTCCAATCCTGACCTGCTGCCACACGCCTTACTCTCTCTGTGGTCCAGCCTCTCTGTTAAATGGGCATAGTATTGATTTCAAAGGAATGTTATGACCATTTATTTAGACACACACACACACACACACACACACACACACACACACACACATAGTGCTTGGTCTATGGGTTGTTTAAGAAACATATCACATCCTTAATGTGAATCGTTAATTTATATTTGGTTTACAAACTTAGAAATCCAGTGTTCTTGTCCCAGGTCCCCTGAGGGGCCCCAGAGAAGGGTCTGATGAATGAATGAAAGTCACTTCATGAATGTGGCTTTTGCCAGCTTCCAAACCCACCTTCTGAACAAGCTTTGCTCTCAGTGTTTTCCCGCCAGTGCCATTCGCTGAGGTGGGATGGAGTGTTCCAGATTTCCAGGGAGGGGCCCACGTGGGGTGCAGAAAGCTGTAAAGTTGGGATCAGAATCTCTATATTTTGGTCGATTTCTCGGCACTTCTGGCTGTTAATTCTTTGACTTTGTCAAAGTTATTTGAAATTTCTGTTTCTTGTTTGTGTCTATTTCCCAGGCTGCAAAATAAGAATAAGAAAGTCACCTCTTCTGCCCCCTTTGCAGTCAGGCAAGCGGGGCTCTGCTAAAGGTTAAAGTTCCCTTTGTATTCTGATCACTCTGGAAGGTACAAGAATGCATGGAGCCTGTTTTCCAATCTCAGCACATTTGTGGGGAGTCTGATCACAGCTGTAGGAGAGTATTCATCCTGGTGATGCCATGCTCACTACTCCTGGATTTACATCTGCAGGCAGCTCTTCCAGGGGGTAACTAACCACCAACCTGGCAATGGATTTTGAAGTCATGAGTCTTGAAATCCTTCTCTCTCCATGGGCCATCTGGCTTCTGTCTTTAAGCTGCAAAGTACCCCCTCCCACTATTTTTTAGATGCTTTTCCTTTAATATTCTATCATTTAAAAAATGTGTCCCTTTGGGGGATTGTTATGAAAGAATCTGAGTGGAAAGCAATGCAGTTGCAGTAGGTACAAGTTATTTCAAAACAACTTCGCTTTTCAATGAAATCTATTCCTTTCGCCTCCTTAGCATAAGGTCACTTCTGCGATGGGATTTGGAACATTCCTTCCATCAGGACGCCAGCTTACGTTTTTATCTACCTGCTGGTCAGAGCCCTCAAATTTCCAAGCCGGAATATACATAATACAACGCTGGCCCTCTAGCGGAAGTGCGGAGGGGGTTAACGTTTAAAAACACATCTATTTTAATGTTTCCCAGCCTTATTGAGCGTTGACTGCACACACATTACTGCAGACGTTTAGAGGGTTCAACGCGATGATCTGAAAACACGAACACGGACTTCACGAGGGTGTTTTTTACTACGGAATCATGAAATGAGTTCAGACAACCAGAAATCTTTACAATAGTTTCAGTGCATGTGGATATTCTCTTCCAACCCGATTCGTTATTTCTCTCCTAACTTCACCTTTTCTACTGAAAAAACTAAACTAAACTAAACTAAATAAAACAAAACAAAATAAAATAAAATAAAACAAAACAAAATAAAATAAAATGAAGTAAAACAAAATAAAATAAAATGAAGTAAAACAAAACAAAA